TACTTCCTGCTTTTTAGAATTGGGTATTTTTTATTTTGTGTTAAATCTTAGTGAATAATACTGTTTGAGACTAGAGAATATCAAGAGGTTCTTCTTGTGTCGTTCCTCCAACAAGTAAACCCCAGAACTAGTTCTATCAAATTAATATACCACACTGCTATCACATAACTTTGCATGGTAGCATACAGGTGTCTCCCCCCCATACTGGGGTTTGAACTCAAGAACTTAAACTTGCTAGGCAAGTGCTCTATTACTTGAGCCACACTTCCAGCCCTATATATTTTTTTGTGAGCCTACCTAGATTTTAGGAAGGAGTAGGTCATGGAACTCACTATGACTCGCCAGGAGTTGTATGGCCTCTTGGAGGAGACATTGTTCTGCCTTTAGAATTGGGACCTGCGCCAGCTTATTACTGGCCAGACATTTACTGTGTCTCCCTGGCAAGTTTGCTGTGTGTGCCCCTGCAGAGCCAGCTCAATGCCATGTGCACAGTGGCCTTCTCATGGCATCTTCACAATCCTGTGGTGAGACTGTCTGTGTCCCTCCTTGAGGGAGCCCTAAGAACTTGTTCAACATAATCACCCAGTTGTTGCATTGATCTTAAATAGAAGGCATTATCCCCTGAACCCAACATGCTCAGAAAAAGGAAAAACAGAAAACAGCCTTGAAGGGCTTGCTTGGCTAACACCTCATAGGCCAGGGCCTTACAGCAGCTGGAATGACTTCTGGGTTCCATATCTCTGCTAGTGCTGCCAGGCTGGGCACGCCCTGGGCCACAGGAAGTGGGGGACACTCCAGGGAAGCCAGAGGCCTAGCAGCCACTGCCTGGATTGGACTGTTGCCGATTGGCGCACACTGGCCTCTGCACAGCCGTATCTGGGCCTTCCTGCCCTCACCCCCTTGTGTTTTGTTACCAAGGGAACAGCAAACTGCAAGTAGCAACCAGCTTCCTTTATGATCCAGGGCAAGTCTGTTCCCCTTTGGGCCTCCGTGTTCTCCCTGTAAAGCAGTTGGCTGTGCAGAAGTTGTCAAATGTGGACCTGGCCTGGTGAAAGGAGACCATGGGTTCTCAATGCTTCAGATCCTCTCCTCACACTCAATCTGTTCCCTTGAGGAAGCTGGGGAAGTGCATTTGGAAAGTCTCCAAAAGGCTACCTCTAAGGACCTGTCAAGTCGGTAACTCACCTCTTTGATTGGTTTGTGTCTGTTTCTTTTCAGCATCTCAGCCATCCACATTATCACTGGCTCTCTTGATGAAAGAGGTTCCGAGCCATACTAGACTGTCTATGGTTCTGGAGCTAGAGTGTGCTGTTTTGTTTTTTTTTTTTTTTTTTTTTTTTTTGGTTTTTTTTTTTAACAGGGAGCCTTTTAGGGTAGGATTTTATGTCTGCTTACCTAAATCATCCATCCCAGAAAACAAATCAGCCTAGTTAATGCTGGATTATCTAGCTCCCTGAGAACAGGACTCGGGCCATCACAGCGTGTTCCATGTGTCACATGGTGTTCTCTGTTGGATAGGTGAATGAATGTTTCAGGAGCTTCTGACCAGGGCTCTTCTCACCTTTAGAGTTTTCTCTGTTGAGCTCAAAACAGGGACTTCTTTCTGGGTCTGGGTGGCTCACTCCTGTGATCCTAGCTACTTGGGAGGCTGAAATCAGGACGATTGCAGTTGAAGGCCAGCCTGGGCAAATAGCTCATGAGACCCTATCTCTAAAATAACCAGAGCAAAATGGACTGGAGGTGTGGCTTAAGCAATAGAGTACTTCCTTTGCAAGTGTGAAGCTCTGAATTCAAACTCCAGTCCCTCCAAAACAAATGGGGACTTATTGCTGTGTTCACATTCATGACACCAAAGTGTGTGTCATCCTCTGCCATGTTTACATCAGGTCCTTCCCTGACAGATGTGCTGGTACCAACTCCTCCTCCTCTTGCCTTGTTCTCCCTGGGATGGAACTGCTCTCTCCCAGCCATGCCTGAAACTGTTCCACCTCCCTCCCTTCCACACACAACCTGTCTTGGTGATTGGTGGATGCCTGCCTGGAGGATTTCCCACATGTGCTCTTTCCTACTGGGGGTCCTGCCCCACTTTACTTGATCCTGGCTGGCATAGGATACAAGTAGGATACTATTCATTCTATAGTTTTCTGAGATGTCAGGGTTTTTGAAAGCAGCTTTCATTTCTCAGCAATTGGAGGAGCAAGGTGGTGGCTGGGTCACTATGTATTAAGTGTTTGAGGAAGAGAACTGTGCCCAGAGGCAGCCATGCGTGAGTGGTCAGTGCTGAGTGGTTTGGATTGAAATAGGACGGAGAAAGCAAAGCTCCAGGGCCTTTGTCCAATCTTCCCTTCAGAAGCCAGGCTCCATGCCAGGCTCTGCTCTGCACCCAGCTCCTTACAGCAAGTATGTGTTGCCTCCTCCCCAGGGGCCCTGACAGTTTGAGAATGGTGCCACCCAGGACCGACAATTTATAAGCCCCTTGATGAGGAGGCCGTTTTAAAGAGGAAAGGCTGTGATTACAAAGCTCCATGGTTATAAAGAAGAAACAGGCCTGGCACAGAAGAATCTTCTTTCTTTGATCTACTCAGCCAGCACTGGGCACACTTGGTGTCTCCTGCCGCCCCTTTCCCCCCTTGAAGAACTTTGAGGCACTGTGGCCAAACACTGGAATGATAAGGATCATGGAAGAGGTCACACAGCTCACGTCCTTGGCTTGGTGCATTTCTGCACCACTGCCTGTGCCTGCCTCTCCTTCTGGCTTAGAAGGGGCACCTTGATCTCCACAGCAGTCTGGAGTGGATGGTCAACAGGACCTTCCTTATTAGACAGACAGAGCTGAGAGTCTTGTCGAATAGCGTGGAGGAAAGAGCCCTCCTTTGAGAAAGGAGTTAGGGAATAAGGAGGGGCACGGGTTAATCCAGCTTGTGCTTCTGCACAGGAAGCCAGACGATGGGTCTTCATCATAGTGCCTAGGAGCATCCTGGGTTTTGGACGTCTGAGATGGCCAAGGCTAGCCCAATGCATGCTGTCCCTGAAGCTGTAGGGATTCAATGATCGCTTCTTAACTAGGGCTTACTTCACCAAGGGTCTCTCAGGACCTGGGTTCTGTAGAATATTCCTGATGGGCAGTTGCCGTGCTGCCTGGGTCCTTCCCTGTTCCCTGGCCAATCTCACTCAATTTCTTCCCTCTTTTTACAGCTTTGAAAAAGTGCATGGTCCTGGTGTATTCCTAGGCAGGAAGTCAAAAAGACAAGTTGGGCCCACAGGAGTCTCCAGGAGCCACAGCACCTTCCTCCTGCTGCCCTGTCAACTCACCACCTTCTACCCACACCTCACAAAATGTCATCAGGGCCAGCAGTACCAACTTTTTAAAAATTTTTTTGGTGATACTGGGGTTTGAACTCAGGGCCTCATGCTTGCTAGGCAGGCGCTCTACCCCCCAAGCCACTCTGCTAGCCTTTTTTGTGTTGGGTGTTTTCAAGACAGGGTTTCTGGAAACTGTTTACCTGGGCTAGCTTCCAACTTCGACCCTCCTGATCGCTTCCTCCTGAGTAGCCAGGATTTACAGGCATGAGCTCGATAACACTTCTTAACTATATTGTCAGGATTCAGACCCACTGAGCTGGAGTCTGTGGCCATTCCTGTGCTCTTAGAGGTTTGAAACCCCTAGACTGCGGTCTCTTCCCCACCCCAGCGGGAACTTGGAGGAGAGAACCTCACAGGGAACTGGAAGGGGCAAGTGGTTGGTCCCCACTTCTCAGCCTTTTCCCATTTGTAGGTGGTGCTCTCTTCTCCCTTGGGGTGAGAGTCTGGACCACGAGCATGGTCCTAGTCCCCAGTCCCCTGTGGGACTGAAATTGGGTCTGCATATTTCAGGTCCTGCAGACGCAGATGTAAGGATTGCCAAAGACCTTACATGTTTTCCTTAATCCTTAATGAAATGCAGGCTGCAGAAATAAGAGTGGGAGGTGGAAATGATGATGGCTGGGTTAGGCATACAGCAAGTACTCAGTAAATACACTGAATACATGAGTTATTTCCCCTCCTAAGTCCTACCTTAACCTTGCAGGAACCTGTCACCGCTGATTCTAAATGGTTAAGATGCCCCTTTTGCAGCCTCAGTTTCCCCAGTTGTTAGAATGGGGTAAGAACCAGAGATCATGACCACTGCCACTAGTGTTGTGACGACATGATCTTGGGGCTACCAGTAGCCCCCTCACCCATCGTCCTCCACAGCTGGAGCCTTGTTTCCCTGCCTCCTCTAGGCTGTCCCTTGGAGGGGAGTTCAGTGGAAAACGGTGTGTGCTGGGAGTGGGCTGGAGGGAGCCTGAGACTCAGCTTCAAAGAAGGGCGTCGCAGACGGGCACAAGTTTCAGTGCTGCGGCTTAACTGCTGTGTGACCTTGGGCAGGTCTCTTCCCCTGCCTGGTCCTCAAAGGTCAATCTCTGTCATCCCTTCTTGCTGGGGTTCCCTCTTGTCTGCCCTCTCCCTCCACTTCTCCATCCGAGCAACCGGCCCAGCTGCGTTCCGGGGTTAGGTTGGGGAGAGGTCGCTAACAGACGTGCTGAGGGTCAGCGCCGGCCTCTTGGAAGATGCGCACCCTGGGCGCAGCACGTGCTGCGGGCTGAGCCTCCTCGCACCGCTAAGGCCACGTGCTTCTCACTTCCTCTCCGCTCCAACGGCGCCCTTGGGGGGCTAGGCGCGTCCCCCACCTCTTCAGTCGCCCACAATTGCCCCAGAAGTTGTCTCCGTCCCTTGCATCAGAGGGCTCCCAGGCCCTGCCACTGTCTAGCTGGCAGTGTAACCCTGAGCTAGACTCTCTGGTCCTCAGTTTCCCCACCTGTAGGATGGGGGCGCAGAGCGCCTGCCTCTGGGACTGGCGGCTCGGGGCGCGCGGCAGGGTGGGGGCCTCCCCGCCACTCCCGCGCCCGCGGCTCGGGCTCCGCAGTGAGGGGGGAGCGGCGCCGGGAAGGAGCTCGGCGGTCACGTGACGTCCCCTCCCCGAACTGCGGCGGCGGCGGCGGTGGCGGCGGCGGCGAGCGCCGACCGCGTCCGGGCAGAGCTGCTGCGGCCGCCGCGGGCACCGGAGTGCCGAGCCCAGGACGCGCCGGCCCAGGCCCGTGGGTGAGTGCGCCGCGCCGGCTGCGGCTCTGCGGAGGGGAAGGGACCGACGCGTCCCCGGTTCCCCTCGGCTGGCTGCCGGGGACCCGGGGCGAGGGGCGCGGGGAGGGGCGCCGCCGGCTGGACAGGGGCGGCGGAGGCCGGGCTGAGCCCGCGGAGGCCCCGCGGGGGGCTCGGTCCGGGCCGCGGGGAGGGGCGCGCGTCCCACCCCCCTGGGTGGGTGCCGAGTCCTGTTTTCCGCTGTCGCTGAGGAGGGGTGCCTCGGGTTTCGAGGAGCGACTGCGGAGAAGTGGGCTCGGTTCCTCCAACCCCGAGGAGGGGCCCGGTCCTAACACCCGCCAGCGGGAGGCGATCGGTCTTCAGTGGAGGGAAGTGGGGGCCTTAGGTCCAACGACCCTGAGCCCGCAGGGCGGTGATGTCCTTGCATCTCCAGGGACAGAGCGCATTCTCCCCGCCCCTATCCCTGACCCGCCGCCCGCCACACGCGTCACGCAGCCGGGCGCCCCCTCGTCGCCTCCTCTGGCTCCGCAGGATCCGAGGACCCGGTGGGAATTCACCCGGCGGTCCCTATGCCCTGCAGGCCCTTTGGTGCCAGCCATCGTGAGCCGCTAGGGCTTGGGGAAGCAACCTTGTGTACACACACACCTTTCAGAAACAACACTCACAAGCCCAGGAGGTGAGCGACCCCCCACCTGCACCCTTAGTAGTTTGGCCCCACCAATGCTTGACCCCTGAGTCTTTGCTGGGGTCTTAGCACAGGTCTCAGGGTGAAACCAAGAAGGACACCCGGCCCCTTGCTTGGCATATTGATGTCTGTCCCTGTCCTTCATTCTCCTCCCTGCCAAAGTCAGAGGGCAGTCCCCAAGTAGCCAGCAGGAGGGGCACTGATAGAAAGCCCCCCATGTGGAGCAGGAGAGAAAGGCAAAGAGGAATGAAGGGAGGTGAGACAACATTCTCCCCAAGAGAGGCTGGGACCAGGCTCTGCCCCCTGCCCCCTGGTCAGAGGGCATATAAGGGAAGAAGCTGGGGGCAGTGGCCTTGAGTGCTAGGTAATGAGAGAGAACTTTAGGTAGAGGCATCCCCAAACTGTGTCTAGGCAGGAGCTGGGCCCTGGGCATAGCAGCTGAGTGGGGAGGTGGCAGTCAGGCCCTACTGGGCCCTGGGGTGCTCCCATCTGATCCATCACCCAGCAAGACCTCAGAGGCTCCCTGGCAGTTGAAGGCTGCATTCAAGGGTGAGTGTGCCTAATGGCCTTGGGAAAGACTCTAGGGTAAGGACTGACCCTCTGCATCTCAGGAGCATTTTAAGGTGAGGCTGAGGTCTCCATTGCACAAATGAGGAAACTGAGGCTCAGACGGGATGAGCGAAGTTCATGAGGTCACTGGGTTACCTTCTGCTGGGGGTTATAATTCCAATTCTCTGTTTCCTGATTCAGGGTGGAGATCCTGCAGGGTGGAGGGGGTCAGTGATGGCGTGAGGTGCTCACAATGGCCTGCTCCCGTTTGCTGCAGGGGGTGGGGGGGTGTTGCCTCTCGATGGAGGTGGGTTGGGTTGGGGAGAAGGCCCAGAGCTAGCCTGCTCACCTGTCCCTTCCCACAGCCATGACATTCCCTACCAAGCCCTTCCTTTTCATTGCTTTTCTTGGCCAAAGCCCAACTCTTCCCTAACGTGCTTTCCTGGCAGGGGGTTCAGGAGCCCCTCTCCTCCTCTAACCACCCTCACCCCACCCGACTCTTCCTCTGGCCTCTTGGAGTGCAGCAAGTCTCCTCTGGGCTTGGGGGTGTCTGGTGCTCAGTCCTTAGGTCCCCCCAGCAAGGTCTATGTAGGTTTGGAGTGAGAGAGTTCTGAAACCTACCCTCCACCTCCTGCCCCTGCCCTGCTGTCAAGTTGTAAGGCCAAGAAGCCGTGGAGGACTCCAGGGGCAGGTTTGTCTCCCACACTACCTGTCTGTCTTCCAGGCCTTTGTCCTAGCCCTCAGAGACTGCTGCGCAGCCGCACATGCTATGCAAACAGCACTGACCCGAGCACAGCCAGACAGACGCAAACACGGCCAGACTCCCAAGTATCCCAAGACCCAGACACAGGAACACACAGACATGCTCCAGCCAAGACCCCCGCCCCACTCTGCCCAACACCACACATGAGACACGCCATCCGGACGCTGCCCCTGGTCCCACACAGATGGGGTGGTTGTCAGTAAAAGAGCCCCTGTCCTGCCTCATGGTCTCCTCCGCATGCAGTCAGGATTCATGTGCACACAAGAACAGGTGGAGGCCCCACACTCTTACACATGAGCCTGGCAGACATGCTCAGACACCCACCCACACCCAGGCCACCGTGGGTGCACACGCTTGCATTTCATCAGCTTCCTGAGTGTGGGATGTGACAGCCTTGTCACCCCAGGGGGTGGCAGAGGCTCCTCTGAACACCCCCAGCCAAGCCTCACCTTATTCCCTCTTATCCTCTTCCTGTGACGCCAGCATGACAGACAGACACTGGGAAACTGCTTGGTGTTTTTCCCTCGATGAACTCTTCTCTCCTGCCCCCACCCACAGATGCCTGTAGAGTCGTGGGAGAGGCTGCTTATGAAGCTGCCACTCCACAGTCCCTCCCAAGGCAGGATTGTCCCCAGCACAAGCTCCCAGCAGCCCTCTGCCACTTCGCCCGATGCTGGGCCAAATCCTGGTTTCCTCTTTGCCCTCCCAGCAGGGATGGGGCTAGCTGGAGATGTCTTCTCACCTTCCCACACGGCAGAGCCCAGTCCTGGCACCTTGGTTGTGTCTTTCAGAGATTGGCACCGCTGGGAAGTCACTGCTGAGAGCAGCTTCCATAGTCTGTGGTGAGGCCTCCAGGGCAGATGGATGCCAGGTGGGGGCAGCGAGGGTCCCTGGATCCCCACCCCAGATTGGTCAGAGTGTTGATTCTGTCATTCTGTCCCTGCCTCTGGCTGGCTGTGTGGCACCTGGCAAGTCATTTTCCTTCTCTGGGCCCAGCTATAGCTCTGGGAGGAAAGAGGTGTAAGGCGGCTCACCCATGCCAGTAAAGAAAGTTTAGCTCAGCTGGGCAACATGGAGCACAAGGGTGCCCTGGCTGAGGACTGCAGATTGGAAACTCTGGGCCTATATCAGGTCAGTTGAGGGTTGCCAGGCCTGAGACTTCCTGGGGTGACCACCCTAGGGTCAGCCTCAGAAAGAGGGGACCCGAGGGCAGGGGGCTGCAGTTGTAGTTTATGTGTTGTGGGTATTTTTATCCTTCATAATGTGCTCTATTTTTAGGGATAAAGACTGGCACTTGCAAGCAATGACTCAGAAAGGAGGAAGGGAGAAGAGGCAGTGAGTGGGGTGCTGGTAGAGAGACACCCCAAAACAAGGGGTCCCCCTGCGATGCCAACCTTCCTCACTGGAAGAAAGCAAAGGATGCCCCTGCTGTGTGGGACACAATGCTAGAGGCTTATCTGCTCTATCACCAAGCATTTAATGAGCTTGTACTGTATCCCACACCTCACAAGCACTAGGGACACAGAGGGGAGTTGGGATGGACATCCTTGTGTCCCTGCCACAGCCAGTGTATTATATGTTACTGTGGCCAAAGTGAGGCTCAGAGAGGTCAAGCAACTTGCTCATTCTGCCAACATGAGGCCACCCTCCCCTGGGGCCCCTTTGGGAGGAAGCAGACTTGAGTTCGAATTTTGACTTTGTCACCAACTAGCTACACAGCTAGAGCAAGTTACAACATCTCCCCAAGCCTTGTTTCTTTATCCATAAAGGGGGAGTCATAGTCCCCATCTGATGGGTTTGTTTAGAGGATTAAAACAACTAATAATGCAGGACTGCTACGTAGTGCAGTGGAGAAAGCTTGCCTAGGATGTGTGAGGCCCTGGCTCTAATCGCCAGCTCTGCAAAAACAAAACAAATAAACAAACAAAAGACTACTGTGGGCAAATATCCAAGGCAGTGCCCAGCTCACTGAAGGCATTTGTCTGGATCCTTAAAGGCCATGGATGGGACTCCAAGTCCAACTGGGCATGGTGCTGCATGCTGTAATCCCAGTAATCAGGAGGCATAGGTAGGAGGATTGCAAATTCTGAGCCAGCCAGGGCTATGAGAGCCTGTCTTCAAAAAAAGTCCAAGTCTAGTCTGTGCCGTGTGACTTTAACAGGCCACTTACATCTGTGTCTCATACTGTTCTGACCAGAATGGGATGATGAGCTCCTATTTGCCTTCCTACCTAGGAATGTTATTTGTGAGGATCAGGCATAATGGCAGGAGCTGCTTTGAAGAACAGAACTGTTCTCAGGGAAACATAGAAATGCACAGAAGGAAAAACAAGCACCAGGAAAAAAAGATTTTTTAAAAAAAATTTCAAAGCTTTTTTTTTTTTCTTTTGATAGGACCAGAGTTTGAACTCAGGGCTTTGCACTTGCAAAGCAAGTGCTCTACTGCTTGGACTATGCCTCCAGTCCATTTTGTTCTGGTTATTTTGGGGATAGGAACTTGCAAACTATTTGCCTAGGCTGGCCTAGAATCACGATCCTCCCCATCTCAACCTCCAAGTAACTAGGAGGTGAGCCGCTGACACCCAGCTTTACAGTAAGAAAAAAGCTTTTCTTCAGTGTTTTGGGGTAGTATGGTTTTTTCCCCATAACTCCCCATTTCCAAGGCATTTGGTAGTCAGATAATTTCTCCCTTGCGGAGTAAGTGCCTGGTACATAGTTGGTATCAGTAAATGGCAGTGTGATCGCTAGTAGGGTTAATGGTTGTAGAGTGAGAAGAAGGAAGGCATTCCTCTGGCGTAACAGGCTACAGTATAGGCAAAGGCTAGTAGGTGGTGATCAGGGCACTGGTTTGGTTTTGGTGAAAGGTGTGTAGGGATGAATCCTGCCTGTTTACTTGTGGCCTTGAATGCCAGGCTGAGGAATGTGCATCCCCCCAAAGTTACTGGGGACCAGCTGAGCCTTCTGAGGGCAGACCTTGGACACATGTTCAGGCCTATTCTCCAGGAGT